TCTGCTCTTTTAACATGGTTAGTCACAAAGTTTATACAAACTCTTAACACACAAAACTACCTCTGTATTTGAAAACACTGGAAAATACCAAAATATTTAACATTAATCTTTGTTTTGAAGCTGTGGACGGCAACTTTACTTTGGAAAAGAAGTAAAATGTTATTTTGGTAAAAATATATTTACGGGTGCCCCTTGGCGAAAATTGGGATTTTTGGCGGTACATGGATACTGAGTTTTGCAATTCTTCGAGTTGTTATTTTGGCTTTGTGTAGCAGCGACACAAAGACAAAATAACAAGTCAAAGAACTGCAAAAACTCTGTAGCCATGTACATGAACACATCGGCCTATTTTCACTCAAAAAAAAAAAAAAAAAAAAAAAAAAAAAAAAACACCAGAGAATTGCATAAACTTGGCATTGTCCCTCGACTCACCAGAGAATTGCATAAACTTGGCTTTGTCCATGTTAACATTGATCTATGTTCACTTAAAAAGTCAAAGGAGCACTCAACAATCTCAATAAACTACATTTTAAATCAAGCAATCAACATAAAAAAGGAAATTCATTTTAGCGCTACATAAAGGAAATATCCACATACCTTATTTAAAAATTTCCCTTTCTTCAGTCAAACAAAATTCCTTAACAGCATCCAAAAACTTCCTAAAATTATCTGAACTAAAATCTGTATACTGATGACGCCACATAAATTCACAAAAATAAGAGTAAAAAATATCCTCCGTAGTGCTGGTAACCTCCAACGTTCAATCATGCTCATTTCCTTTCAACAAACAGGACACTTATAATGGCTTCCAAGTAAACCTTTATTTACACACACTCAATTAATGTTCTCTTCCCCTTCCAAATCGTACAGAAGCTTCAAATTAATCTTTCCACATTCAGATATTCTACCACTTAAACCACAAAGCAAGCAATGTACTTCCTAACCAACACACACCGCAAGCCCTTGCAAAACTTTTCCCATAATTTAAAATTTACCGCAATCATGCACCAACCAATTTCGTCATAATATGGTTTCGATAACATTCAACTACTCAGGTTGAATGTTATAAATGAAACAACTTCGCGATAAATGAAATAAATTTGTGATAATACAAGGGTTCTTTTTTCAATCTACTCTAACCATTATTTTTATAATTAAAACTGTAAATTTTAAGATTTTAACAATAGGATATTATAAGCTTTATTATTGTAATTGAATTTTATGATCTGCATTCAGCAAACTACTTTGATGTTAGCTCTAGGATATTTCTGAGAGCAAACTGCTTTAAGGCACAAGCTGTCTACTTTAGTTATTATTTACAACATTAATATCAGCATCTTGGTTAATATGATTCAGAAAGGGGAAGAGAAAAAAATTTCAAAGAAAGAAAAGTGAAGAGAAAAAATGTATGCAAGGTGAATGCACCCAAGCGATAAATGTTTACGATAACAATTAATGTTTTGGAAAATGAAAGGAATTATAAACAATCTGAAAAAGTTCACTTATCAGGCAAAAAATTTAGTTATCCCCATACACTCTATCAGTTAACATCAAACAAATTATTAAAGATAGATTATTGCATATCGAAAACAAAGGTTGAACCATGGACAAGACACTATGTTGTTCGGTTACTTTTAATTTAAGGTATTATTCAATTTATTAGAGAATCAGGGACTTACTAGTAATTAATAAACTGAAACTGGGTACATTTTATTGCATTCAATACCAATGCATTTCAAATAATAATATGCAAAATTAAGACAGCATCAAAATGAAATATCATTTTGCTTCTCTCTTAGTTTCAATTTTATCTTAGACAGCTAATTTTTCAATTATTTTCTTTTGGTAGTTTTCATGCAAAAGATTTTTTATTAGCCTTAACTTGTAAAAAAATTTTTTTCTTCACTTCTAGTTATTATTTCATTGAAGTCAGAAGCAATTTAACACCTCATGCAGCTATTTTATTAATCATCTACAGTTTATATTTTTCTGTTTACAAAATATTTTCCTTTCACAAAAATGCTTCAAAAGTCAAAAACAATGTGCTGACCTTCATTCTGCAAGAGTTTTGTTCTTGAAAGTAGACAAATCTAAGGTACTGCTTGTCTCTGAGAGGAGCTATGGTGTACCCTACTATTTGTGTAAGATTTTACAGCCATATATTATTGAGAGTTCCCCCCTCCAGTCAAAATCTGATAGAAAAAAGCATTACTATTCGGTTAGAGTAGAGTCAGTTAGAAACGTGCTTCTTTTTTTCAAGGGGGGGGGGAGGCACCAAGTGTTGCCAAGTATAAAATTATGAATAAATTTTGAATTACGTCCAAAGGGGCATTTTTGTAATGTTTTGTGTGTTACCTTTATTTACTAAATATCATGCTCTTTGCAATTAAACCATAAAATTCAGTTCAATAAGCAATGTTGCAAAATAATTTTAAAATGAGCATATCTTTAGAATTTCCGATACACAGTTCCACAGGCTGGGGATAAAAAGGTTCCCCCCCCATAGAGTGTTGCCATTGTTCACTTTTAAATCATTCAGTTTGCTACTAAAAAATTCGTTAAAGTTTTAGAAAATATGAAATCCATAATAATAAATATTCCAAATTTAGTCTTCCACATGCCCTTTTTTGTAGGAGGATTACGTCATTCAAAATTTGATGGCTCCATGTACAGTTGTTTTATCACAATGCGAGAAATAAACATACATTTATGCAGAATTTTCATTATTTAATTTCTTCAAATATAATGCAGGACTCTTAACATTTGGTGGCAACAGTTTGAAAAATGATTCACCATTTATAGCGATTCAATGCAAAATGAAAACAATAGTCCCTCAGAGACTGATAAGAGAGACCCTTTGGACTAATAAGAGAGTTCAAAAACTTAAAAAAAAAAAAAAAAAATTATTTGTGTAAAAAGTAATTTTATTTTCAAATTTCCTAATTCTTAAAGAAAATAAATTTCTCTTTTTAATTTTTTAATCTTAAGTATTCTATACATAAATAAAAAATTACAAAATGAAATTTAATCTAGACAGGTGGCATAAAATTACAAATATCATTCAATATTATCGAAAAAGTTTCAGTGTTTGAATATAAGTGACACCAGATAAATTCTATCAACTAAATGGTGGGCAGCAGCATCCTGCTGAAATTTATTTCTCATTTTTTCTCTTTTTAGCACTACTCCACAGTTTAGGTATGCTATCCGGTTTCAGGGCCTAAAAAATTATAACTGTGATTCACAGTGAAAATTCAGCAACTCTCTTTCTTATATCCTTTCTAGCAGTGCAAAAATATTATGCTGTCATCAATGTTGTAGCACAATGATCGGGAACGGGGACCAGAAAACATTCTTTGCTTTCCCGGCATAAGCCTCCAAATACCCAGTGTTCCATAAGGACATATCCAATTTTTTTTTTTTTTAAGACTTTTGTCTATTTCAATGATTTTATTGGTTCACTGATTTTAGTTTTTTAGGAGACATCAAACTATTTGTACATATCTCCCTTAAGTAGTTATCCCAATCTACTGTCATAATGGCTGATTTCTAATGGAAGTTGGCAAAATTCAATTAATGTCAATTCCTGACACCACAGATAGATAAAACGAACAACACTGAGGAAAGAAGTACGCAAGCCTTCAAACCATGCTTTGGTTCTCAATTCTTCTTTTTTTTTTTTTTTTTCACAGCAAGAACACACATAACAATGCCATATAGGAGCTTTGTTTCAGTCATAAGTTATCTTCATCGGATGATTTTGAGAACAAAGTCTATTGCTATGAATTATTCCTTTTCCCTGAAGAAATCTTTATCGCAGCCTCTTCATCATTAGGTAATTTCTAAATTGTGTAGTCCATCATATTAAAAAATGGTGAAATACTGGAAAAAAAAAAAGCGTGTGATGATATTTCAAACGAAAACTGGAAATCTCGAGCCATGATCTTTGGTGTGTTTTTATAGCATTGTTTTCTTCTCATTTTTAACTGACAATGCTTAACAGAATAGTACCAAAAAAACTATTACTTACATTTTATTAATTCTCCTCTTTTCTTTTTAAATGGCAATTAACAACATATGTTTCTCTGAAATATAAGCAAAAGCTTGTTTCTATCTTTAAGAGCCTGTGATGTAGACATCCCCATAGATAAGTGCTTTTTTGTTTTTCCTTTTATAATTCTCTCCTTTGGGCTCTACCAGTGGTCGGGCAGTCTAAGACTGCTGAATACTGGTAGTTCACAAGCATTAAAATTTCATGCAAACTGATTGGCTGCATGGTTGGTTTCTCTAATTTTTAACACAATAATGTGCCAGTTTCCATTTGAAAGTGCTACATGAAGAAATCCCTCGCCTTAGAAAGATAAACCTTTGAGTGATTTGCCATATTCAAGTGACCTAATAACCCCTCTTTTATTATAATTTTTCTGCTGTTGTAAGAATACTGGATACTGGAACAAAAATATTAGGATGAAAGTAATGGCTAAAAAATCCTTCTAATTCGTTGCAAGGAGGTAGTTTTATTGCACCAATCTGAAAATAATGAAAGTAACAGAGAATATTCCTGGACAATTTTTCTATATTAAATGATGAAGATCCACCACACAGTTCAGCAACAAACAGCTTAAACTGGTGAAATAGCATACATTTTCTAAAATTTTTTATTAAAAGGCAATGCTACATTATACGCATTATAGATTTCCACTGGCCTTTTCTTGCATGCTTTTAGAGATTTTCTACTACTATTCTCAAATTAAGTGATAGAATGAATTCTAGTTTTTAGTAGTCCCCCTTTTTTAAAAATTAGCTGTACATTTTTCAGTCTTCCTTCAACATACACACTACATAAACATGCTTTTAAGGTGTTTAAAACATACTTTTTTATAATACTTCAACCCTCCAACAACCAACAAAACCTCAAATTCCCAGTTATTTGGAAAGGAATCGAGTCATCAGAAAAGATTTAAAGATTTCACGACCACTGAATAAAATAAAGAATCACATTTAAAAAAAAAATTAAGAATTTAATTATTGCAAATATCTTTCTTGAACATAATGAATTTCTACATTATAAATATATACATAAACTTGCAAGTCTAAATTCACAAAAAAGATTACATTCCTTAAGTGTCTTTCTTTAAAATATTTTTTTAATGAATGACTGATATAAAACTGAGTACATAAATAAATCCACTTTTTATTTTTTTTACATAGACTACCATTAGGAACCAAGTATGATAAAAACCTCAAAAACTCTAACAACAAAAAAGATTATATATGCATTAGCACAAAACAAAAGAAAAATAACTACTTTTATCATAAGGCTCAGTTTGTTATTGCACAAAAGCTTATAAATCGAATTTATGAGTCATTTCAGAAGGGAAAACATATTATAATTGGAAATACAATGCAGAAGTAATTACAAAATGAGAGATTTTTTTAAGATTCCTTTGTGTGTGTGTATATGTTCCCACTGAGTTTACATTATATTAATATTAAAAAATCATTTAAATATAAATATACAATTAAAATGATTTTATTCATACATAATAAAAAGATCGTTTATTCTCAAATCAATATAAATGGCTTATATTTCTAACTATTTATATATCTATCTGCTTAGATACACATTATTCTAATTTTCAAAGTTTCAAGATACTCATTTCACACTTTGAAAATAAGTTTAAAATTGACAGACTCAGTAAAATAAATAAATTAAAAAATCCGAGAAAAAGATTCTCAAAGAGATTCTATTAAGTAGCAGAATTCTGTTTAATTTGTGAAATGCTGAGATTATATAAAATATATTTTTATTGCTCAGTTAAAATCAAACCCTCAATATCACAAAAAGTCCTCTATTACTATATTTGTAATACTTTGGAAATTTATAATTCATAATATATAATGGTGATTAGCAGTAAGGATATGCATAATATTTCAAGAATTGTGAAAGCCTGTTTCTCAGTTTGACAGCTTAAAATATAAATATACAAATTTTATGCTACACATCAAAATTAATCTGTGATGATGAGGAAGTCATTAAAGAATATAAGTTTAGATAAGAGTTAACTAAGAGGTTGATATACTAGATTCAGTCTCTACTTTATTACTGTGCTAATGTGATCATACAACATATTTTATTTATACCAAAAGCATTAAAAATTCGGGTAGTAAAATCTCCCCTTTCTGCTGAAGATTGCAGTGAATCTATTTGAATATCTATTCAAATTTTAACACTATTTGAACAATAACTATTTGAATTTTATTATCAGTATACATTTTTTTAGTATTTGATCACATGCAATTATCCTTAAACTGTAAATTTTGTGTTCCATTATATATATTAGACTTATAAACAAAAAATTAAATTTTAGGCACATATTTACATTTTCTATAAATAAATATGGAAAATAATATTTAAATATTGTTTCATACTTAAAATAATAATTTAGGAAAAATACTATATAATTAACTGAAGATGTCCAAAATTAATGAAATAATTTACAAAAAAGGACTATTTCAGTTTCACACATAAAATTACATATATACCAGGTCAAAACACCACTTCTACGTTTAAAAAAAAAATCCACATTTTTAAACAGTAATGAAATGCTAAGGATATGTAAAATGCTTATTAAAATATATTATTTGCATATTTGATTATCTTTATGAACTGGACTAGCAGCTCCAAGTTCTTAAAAATACATAACAAACAAAACCCATTTAATAGTTTACAAATATTTTTTAATGAACATTAAATGAAGGAGCTGTAAAGAAAAAAAAAAAAAAAAAAAAGGTTATAAATTTGAAAACAACAAATTACAGTATTTCATTCACCCATTGCATATCTCAGTTTTTTTAATATGGTACCACAGCATAAAAAATGCACATTTTATAAAAGTGTTGCCATAGTACAATAGTTCTTCATGCATAATTTCTGGAGCACAAGTACAGAATATGCAAGTATCAGTAAACCTATACATGCTGAGGTGCTGTCATCAATGATGATGTATGAGAGTTAGAACTGTTGTCACCAATATTAGGAGTGCCTAAAAAACAGAATTATAGAAATCCTCTTAGTCATGAGTTTTATGAAATAAGAAATGGAGATCCAGTACATTTAACACTAGAAAGACTGAAACTTAGTATATACCTATATTGCCCAAAGCAGTCAAAATGACTGCATTGTGAAAGAATAACTAATGTGTAAAGAAATTTGTTTAAAATTAATTTTTAATATTTTTATATTATTTACAGTTATATAACAAGTCATTAGTAAATATTAACAATAAAAAATTTACTTAAGAAAAAAGTAATTTATGCATTATTATTTGTACATTATTTGCAAATGAAAGTGGAAATATTTTTATGTGTACATCTTCACAAACATACTTTTGACATTTTCTACATATATTATTTGTTTTCTTGTTGTGGCAAAGTTGTACTTGACAAGTTTGTGTAGCCTGTGGGCCCTTTCACACCCTTGAAAATACAAGTGGATCGTAAACTTTCAGAAATACCACCTTCATCAAATTTTGACCACACAGTATCATCGGCAGCTGTTTCGGTCTCCTGAAAGGTGTTTTCAGTTTCTCCATCAGAGTCTCTGAACTACTCAGCACCCTACACCTTTTTCTGGGCATATCGATGACTTTCATTTTCATCATTGGTTGATCGGCTCTTCATTGCCATCTTCAGTGTCAGATGTTTCACTTTGAATATAATCCCCTTCATCTTCAGATGATAGTTCAGAATTTGTTGCATCTGATTCTATATCAGAGCACTCTTCACTTATGTTCATTCACTTATTTCATTTCAATAAATCACTTCTATTCAACACTTCTTTCATGAATTTAGGGTGAAAAAGAAATAAAATAAACAACTTGTTAGAACAAGTATCACTGCATAAAGATTTGAATAACAAGTACTATAGCTTATTGAGAAATTGCAATTAAAAATGCATCTATATATTATCAAGTATACATCCAAATCGACAATTTAGCATGTACTTGTATGTTATCATGTGACTGTAATCGAAAAAAAATTAAAGCTGTTATTTCAATACTGAGCTGAACTGGTCATATAAGAAATTTACTCAATTCAATAATAAGAGTCATTTAATTTTTTTTTAAATTTCCCAAGCAAGTCAAAATGCCTGCTTTTGAGCAATATAGGTATAACATATATATATATATATACCGGAAATTAAAGAGTGGGAGGTAACTACAATTATTAATAAACGCATTTATATGTTGTACAAAAAGTCACAAAATTCTAAGAAATTGTATCATTATATACATAACTGTTTTTTAATTGAAATTAAAAAGCAGTCAAAATGACTTCTTTGGGCAATCTTGTGTTAATGTACATAATTACTACCTTCAACAAAACAATGCAGTTGTGTTAACTGCAATATATAAATATTAATAACTACAATATTAAATATTTAAAAAATTCTATTAATCAGATACTGAATTTACTAAAATTTAAAGCACATAATATAACCGAGGTTCATGTAAAATACCCAAACTAAAACAACAAAAACAGACTTCACATAAGACATTTATAATAGATTTACTTATAACTGGTGCAGCAAAAATTGATGTCAAGAAGAAAAATGTTTTTCCATGTATCAGTAAACAGAATGCTTATTCTAACAATTATGAAAGAATTTTTTAATTAAACATACACACACACAAAAAAAAAAAAAATCTTTTGAAAGAAATAGAAAAAAAGCATACCTATTTTCTATCCATGAAAGGTACATAAAAAAGGGGAAAAAAGTGGTTTTAGAAAAAATACTTTTTTGTTTTTAATTTTGCCATTAAAGTATATGCATTTGGAAGTTTGAAAATAAATAATTAGCATAACTATGGAAATAAAGAAAAAAAGATAAAAGAATAAAATTATCTCTAATAAGACAATTTATAGAAAAATACGCTTCAAATTTGAATTAAGCAAGTTACTCTAAATATTCTTTTTTTTCTATTTAACACTATACAGAAATGGTAAAGGAAGAAACTATGCAATGAAAAATTATAACTACATATTAATTTATAAAACAGATAATATAATAAAAGCAAGATCACAACATTTTTAAAATAAATTATATTTTAAAACTAATGAGACATTTAATAATAATTTAAAAGAAAAGCTGCTAGTAGTCTTTTAACCTCTGCTACAAAGTTTTGATATTCAATATAAATTAAATTTCAGGATAAATTATTACAAACATTTCAATAATGCTTATGAAGTCCTGCTAGTAGTATTTTAACCTCTGCTACAAAGTTTTGATATTCAATATAAATTAAATTTCAGTATAAATTATTACAAATATTTCAATAATGCTTACGAAGTCATAATAATGAATTAATATAAAAAATGGATGGAAAGAATATTCTTAGATAAATAATACTTGCAAATCTGTAAACAAATTATAAAAAATAAGAACAAATTTGAGTATTTAACACTTTGCATAGGAAATCAATTCAGCATTTTATATTGATTTACACTCATCTATTAACATGCCTGACACCTGTTCATGAAAATGTAGATTACCAATTATAAAATTTAAAAAAAAAAAAAAAAAAAAAAAAATTTCAAAGTATGCAGACTATGTTAACAAATCTTTATGTATACAAATGCTCCTTTTCCTTTTCTTTACAATACAGTTTAGACTCTACTATGAACAAATTTCAAATGTTTTCTTCTAACATAATAACAATTGATATTTTAACATACATCTCAATATACTGGGGTTAAGATACTGGGGTTGTTTAGAAAATTTTTCTTTTTAACCCGCTGATGGGATTAGTTGTATTTTTAACCAGCCAACTATTCTAAACTTTACTGTCATTATATATTTTGACAGCTGACATTTCAGTTATTATTTAAAAACATTGTTTGATCCTGTACAATTTTTATTATTATACTACTGAAAAAAATATGAATGCCATTCAAGGGGAAAAATATGTGATTTATATGGAGAAAACTGTTGACAGAATACTATTTTCAAAAGTTTCTGTGGCGATTTCAATACTGAAAATGCACAACATACATGAAGGCCAGTTAAAGCTGATGAAGACAAAATAAAGATATTGACTGAAGCACATACCATCATCAAGCATCAAATAACACAAGAAATTGCTAAGAGATTAAATTCGGTGAAGTCAACTGTTTATGGTTATGTGAAATGACCCCATTTCAAAGGTAGATGTATAGTTTTGAATGTTCTTAAGAGATTTGCTGTTGCACTGACGTCTGCGATTTGCTTCTCAAATGTCTAAATGATCCAGATTTAAATGAATCATAACTGTGAACAAGAAATAGATTGTTTACAATAATGTTGAACAAAAGTGATCATGGAGTAGAAAAGATAGGCTAGCTCAAAGTATTTCAAAAGCCAATATTCAATTCAAAAAAAAAAAAAAAAAAAATCTATCTAGTGAGATTTAAAGAGTTTTTTTTTTTTTTTTTTTTTTTTAATTTTTATTTATTATTTTTATAAAAAAGCTTCTATCAGACAATTCCACAAATGATTTGAAAGTGTACTGCCATCAACTGGAGAAAGTGAGTGATACTATCAAACAGAAAAGGGCAGAACTGATTAACACAAAGTCATGTTCCACCATGAAAAGTTTGGTAACTCGTCAGAAGGCTATTAAGCTTAGATGGGATATGCTACCATACTTACCACATTTACCAAATTTGGCACTCTTAAATTAGTATTGTTCTTGTCTTTACCAAATGTTTTAAATGTTAACCATTTACTTCACATGAGAATGCCAAAAATAACTTGGTACATAAAGATCAGAACTTTTGTGAGCAAGAAATCATGCAACCATTAGTACCAAAAAGATGCCAAAAGGTATGGGATCAAAATGGTCAATATATAGGTCAATCAAATATCTATATATTATTAAAAAATTGTTTCTTATACCAGCAAATTGAGTATCATAAATTTAAAACTCTAAAAAGAGTTGATTTGTTATGATACTTAAGAACTAAATACAATTTTATAGGGTCATTATAGATTATTTGTGTACCCAAATTATCTACACATTCACAGTATGATGCACAAAATGTCAGACATTCAATCATACTACAAAATTTTAACATTAAGTAATGAATATTAAAAAAGCATTTTCTGATACTTTTGTTCATGGAAAATCTGGTAGGTGTCAGGAGAAAGTATCAGACTTTAACTTGCTGAGAATAACAACTGACCGAATGTTGAATAGATGGAAAAGTTATAACGCTTTTTGAAAAAACAAAGAATTTAGTGTCAGTGGAAATACATTTAATGCAGACTTTAATACAAGATGGGTTCCTCGCAAACAAACCATTAACAAATTGTGTCAGCAATTTAAAGCCACCAGTTCCATTTTGGAGAAGAATCGATCACATTTCTTTTTATGGATTTTTATGGAAGTTCAAAATATTCAGAAGGAAGCCAGCAAACAATGTAACTCAAGGCTCTTATTATGCAGTTTTGGAAGATGTTGGAGGGTTATGACAAATCCAAAGGTTCAGATGCAAAAGGTTGTGAAATAAAATGGTGGACACATTTAGAGTACTTATCTGACCACATTACATGTTTCCAATCCTCGGACGTCCAGTGTCTTCTTTCCCAACACCACTGCAAATAAACTCTTGCATGTAGGGAAGAAATGAGTGGTTTTCTCACAGGCACACACTACACATTCCTATCCTCTGCAATTCTCTGTGCATGGTTCAAGCTGAAATCTGTTGGGAAGAGACTTTGTTGCAATCTGTGTCATTTGAAGCACAGTAGAGTCCCTGTTTTGCCGAACAATTCATCAGAGATGACGGTGATCACTCTCTTGCAAAATTATGCTTGAATCGCAGTTATGTTTTCTAGAGAAGGACTGTGGGTTCTGATTACAACTTTTGAAAACCTTTGACGTGGCTGCTTTTGAGAACCCTGCGAGATTTGCTGTTTTCAAAATCAAAGCCCAACAGGCACCAACAAGCCCTTTTTCAAATGGTTTATTCATCATGAAAAGCACTTTTACACCTTACTTATACTAGCATGTGTACCCGCGTCATAAAAAAAAAAATGCATACTTCATCCCTAGCATGCATTCAAATGAAAATCTCAAGGTTTCTAATTCATTGTGCAATTACAAATTCACTGCCTGTAATAACCATGAAACTCATCAATGCTGAGAGTTTGAATAAATACAAATAGATTAATATTATCAGCAAATTTACAGAAATACTTAAATATTATGCAACTTTTTATTTTTTGAAAGCAACCTTTATTTTCCCTTTTATTGTTCAGTAAGATCCACAACTTCCTTTTCTGGAACATAAATTAAATATTAGGTCCGTAAAACGAAGCAATATGATTAAGAAAGTGAACAACCTCGTGGAGGTCAAGGCTTGAAAGGAAATATTTCGAAGACAGAATGCTTAATTTCTTAAAATGAAAATATTTAAGTTCATGAAAAGTTTTAAAAAAATAACATTTAATATATAAAGCTTTCTTAAATTATTTCAATTAAATTACAAAATGCAGCTTTAAATGCACACGTTACAAAACATTTATGGAGCTAACAATGAAAAACAATGGTGTACTTCTAAAAAATGTCTGATAAATAAAAAATAAGAAAATCACCTGCTGTGCTTATAGGTGCAGAAGATGAACCAGATAAACTTGCAAGGGTATCAGTAGGTAAAGTGCAACTCACAGTTATCACAGGCATTCCAGGTAAGCTGAGAGTTGTTGTTAAAGGTTGTACATTTGGTGTGTTGTTCATAACAGCATCAATGTTGTCAACAGTAGCTGAAAGGCAATGGAAAAGCAAATATTAATTTAAATTAGCAAGAATCAATTTAATTACATTAAAATAAAAAATATAACTAACCAGTTGGAGCTACAACAACAGGTTCAGCTGGAGGCAAAGATGTTGGCAGGGATGCAGAATTTTGAGCTGAAATACAAAGATAGCTATGAAACATACATTCATGAAAAATTAAATAACTTAATCTAAAAGACAAAATTTGATTTTTAGATTATTAAAGAAGCTATGGATTTACAGAAAGTCGTAGCTTAAGTGCAATTATAGCTACGGTAAACACAGTGAAAGCGCTATCTTACATACTGTGCAAAGCATTAAAAACAAAGTTTGGGAGCAACACACATTGAATTAAATTTTCAGCAGTTTTTAGGCACAATGCAGTATAGTGTTTCTATAACAGTTTTAAAAAATCTGCCAGTATTCGCAAAATTGATTCTGAACATTTCTCTTTCATTATTCAAATCATGTAATTGCATGTCAAAAATTCCTAATAAACTGTCAATCAATATCTCTTCATTTTCAACGATCTTTGCCACTTCCTTCACTATCAGTAGCAATTTCCATACCACACATTTTGCTGTATATTAGTTGATTATGAATGCAACACTGTCACTGGAATATAATGGAAAACTTCCATCATCCTTTATTATCATGCCTTCACATTTTTTCACAAATTCCATTAATTGTGACAAACATTTCATCTTTAGCCTTTGATATATGAAAACCTTCATATATGTTGCTGGCATCATTATCCCCACCATAAAATATGGCAGCTGGCCATAAATTATGCCAAACATAAAAATATTTGCAGAAATGTTTATAAAGCAATACTCTGTAAATATTTGCAATACTCCACAAAGCAGATTTTTATGTAAAAACAGTTTAAAAATTCATGAATGATCTTGCAACTGTTCACCAAATTAAGCATAAATTTAGTATCTGCATTTCAGAATACCCAAAACTGTAATATCCATTGGTCATTGGATGTAGAATTTGGAAAAAAGAATAAGATGGTGATTTTATCTTTCTCTAAATCTCATGTTGTTACACCATCTAATCTCAGGTTGTTACACCACATGATAAAAATGATGGATTTCAAATGTTGCCGAGACTCAGACTTTTAAATCAATTATTTATTAATTTTGTATTATACATGCTCTTTTATTTGAATGATAGATGACAGAAAAATTTCTATTTCTATAAATGTCCAAGATTACAAAAAAAGTTTTTATTTGTGCATTCTTGCAGCATTTGTACATGCAAAAATCATTAGTTTCATTTTGGAATTTGGCACCAATTGAGGGCCCTTTTCTCAGATGCTACCAAGACATTTTTGAGAACACATCACCAGAAAAGGTCAGTTTCATCTATCTTATGAATCTGTCCTGAAGGTAACTTTTCATTATTAGTCAGTTTGATGAATTCATCCGTAAATCGTTTAGGTGCTATTGCACCTGAAGTTTTCACTTGAACTTTTGAACTGCCTTACATTCAAGGACTTTCTATTTAACAAATAAAGAAGTTTTCATGGATAATTTTTACAGAATTAAAATTGTAATTAAATTTTCAATTATGATTAGGTATCAAAAATATGCTTCTTTTTTTTTTTTTTTTTTTTTTTTGGATATAAGATTCATGTTCCTTGACATGAAATTTTAAGGCTCTTTTAATTTGGCCAACGTATCTCCAGCCACACCTTTAAAATATGCTACAACTTCCTCAAGAATGAAAATCAGAGATGGAATCTTTAAGAATTGAACAATAAATTTTACCAATAGGTAAGAAAATGACATGAAAATTGAACTTGAAAATTTGTGTATTTTTATAACTGATTAAAGGAAGAAATGGAAGGGCAAATAAGATTATTAATGTGATTATCTACCAGTGGAATATCTTCTTTAATAGCTAGATATAATTCTTTTTAAAACTTTATCAATGAACATGGCAAAAAATACTGTGGCAATGGCAATCAAATATAAATAATTGAGTTCACGAGAAAGCAAAGAACCTGCCATTGCCAAAAATGTCATTTCTTTGCTTAACAGGATACTATAAGGAGAAAATCAGAAAAGGATTTGTGGTAAACAGTGTGCTGAAGATCAAAATTAATAATCTGCAGCACACCATCAGGATTTAAACGCACAAAGAAACTTCTATCATTCAACTATTTTTCGCTTGCAAGTACATATTGGATTACAAGAATTATTGGGTTTTGAATAAACCTACTAATTAATATATTATTGCAATTATTGCTGAAAAATACCCACTTTAAAAAATTTATGAGTTCTCCCATTGCTGAAACACTCTTGCAATTTTATCAGGGCTGTGGTGTCTGAGTCAGAGAGATTTTGGGGTAAAAGGAGTTAGAGCTGGAGTCACTAAAAACAGGTCGACTCCCAGTTTTTTGTGGAACAGTTTGAATTTGAAATGAAATTAAAATGAATTGAAAAAAATTAATGACAAGCTGAGTTATTTTTATTTACGGACTGTATACATTAATAAATATAAGGATGGATGTGATATTTGCCATTAGCAATTAAATTGATTCATTTAGCTGCAAATCTCATTGGTAATTTAGGTAAGCAGCAATAGCAGCAAGAACTAAAATTTATGCCATTCTTAGGAAGCGAGCAGGAAAAGAAGCAATTATTGATCAAGCAACGCGATAAGGAAATACATATTTGATAATGAAGAGTTTTTAAAATTAAAAACTTTTTTAGAAGAAGTAGATAATCCTAATGTTTTCCTAACAGAAAGACTGTGAAATGATCTTGGAGAATTGGAGACTCTTCTTTCTACACCATATATAGCCACAAAAAGCTGCAATCTGAAGAATTGTCAGGAGGCGAAAATGGAAGAATGGGATGTTTGTTCTTCCTCAAATGGAGGGTTTATTGCAGAAGGAATCATTTCTCCAATAAGAAAAGAGAAACTAGTTTGCTAGACAATGAGATCTCGCTGGGTTCAATATATGTAGATCTGAAACACCGAATTTTCTTGGATGACGAACAAATTAAAAAGGCAAAGAAAGTCATCTATGAACTTTCATTAAGAATGAAATTATTCTTAGAATAATTGGAGAATTTGAATCAAGACAGTCAAACTGCAGACATTGCAATTGAGTTTCTATCATCCTCTTCTAGTGATGAATTAGATTTTAAGAAATATTTTTGGATAATAGTAAAAAGGCTAAGGCAAAGAGAATGAAAATAAAATACCAAGAGCCTTTAGATATAAAAATGAAAAAATACAAACAAGAACACGGCCTTTGAAGAAATAGAGAAATATGATTGCGCTTGCAAAACACCTCTTTTAGAACTTACAAAAATCTATCCTGAAAAGTTGAAAGAAGTAGCCCTAACAGTAACAGCTCTTCCTCATACTCAAGTTAGTGTGGAAAGACTCTTCTCAGCTCTGATGTTTATCAAATCGGATCTATGGGCCTACAACAAAGCTATACCGTTTCTTAGAAATAACTAATGGCAGTTTTACTATTTCATAATAAATGCTAATTAATATAAATAATTTCCTATGCCATCAATTTTTTTTCCTGTAGCATCTATTACTTCTTTTATATTAAAAAAGTAAGCTGTAATCCATGCGTACATGTTTACATATATATCAGGGAGTCGAAGTCGAGTCGGAGTCATTAAAATTCCAGGAGTCGGAGTCTGTCATTTTCCCTACCGACTCCACAGGCCTGAATTTTATGACTATGGAAATAAACAAGTTGTGATGTAAATGACAAATATGATATTTAAATTAAATATACACAATCACTTTGGTTACATATGTAGTATAATCCACAGGAAGACTACAATATATTCAAATTCTAAAATAAATCTGAAATTATATCACAAATTAACATTTTGCTAAAGAATTTAATTTACAAATTTATTAAATACCTAAAGAAATTATCATGTAAAATAGAAAAATAGCAGAAACAGGACCAATTATTATCTGTAAAATAGAAAAACGGTCATGTAAAAGTGCTGGTAAAACCCGCCTAACGCTAGAAGGCGCTGAGAGCACCATTGAGAGTGTGCTGAGATTCGATGGAAGTTGCTCGATGGAGGATGTGCGATTTCTGAGATTGAGATATTATTATATTTAATTAAATCAATTTATATTTTATTGATTGGTGATTATTGATTTTGATTTATTGATATGAGATGTGATATGTTTTGCTGAACCACCACACTTTCGACAAACTTGGATTACCACTGAATCTTAAAACCACCGATGCGCATTTGGTGCATCTACGCCAAAAACCAGGTAAGAGAATCTTTATTGAATTATTGAAACTGAATTATACCTAGATAGAAATTAAATATGGCTGAAAATCTGCCAAAGTTGAAGAAGAAATGCAGTTCCGTGCGTTTGATGTTAACAAAATTAATTAACAAAATAGAAGTTGCTATCAACAACGAAAACGAAACAGTTGATCAGTTGGAAGCATTTTTGGAACAATTAATCGGAAAAGAAACTGATTTAAATTCTTTAAATGATGAAATTGAAAATCTTTTGAGCATTGAAACACTATCTGAAGATATAGAAGCTTCAGAAGAAATAAAAGAAAAAATAATTTTTTGGAAATCGAAACTTCATTCTAAAGTAAAGAAATTGAATTCCGATTCTATCCAAGTTGATACTTCACAAAACATTCAGTTGATTAATAATGAAACTGAAAATATAAATATAAAATTGCCTAAATTACATATTAGTAAATATTACGGTAATTATTCTGGTTGGTTATATTTTTACAATTTATTTGAAAGCTCTATTCATAAAAATCCTAAATTAAGCAAAGTTGAGAAATTTAATTATTTGAAATCCTATCTCGGTGGTACCGCCGCAGCATGTATTAGTGGATTTGCTTTAAGTGATGAAAATTATGATAAAGCACTTGATTTATTGAAAGAAAGGTTCAGAAATAAAAATATTTTGATTAACACTCATTTGAATGTTTTGCCTGAATTTAAATCCCGTTAAAAAACTTAACGATGTTATAAGTTTACGAAATTTATATGATAACATGGAAACGCAGATCAGAAGCTTAGAAATTACAGGTGAATTATATGCAAATCTATTGACACCAATTTTAATGAAATTAATTCCTTCACAATTCGTTTTAGAATTTAATCGCATTCAAGGTGACAAAGAATTTGAATTAAAAACTCTTTTGCAATTCATTAATAAAGAAATTCGAAGCCGCCAGAGATCCTTTCCAATAAATAACTATAAATCATCAAATCAACGAGTGCACTTATGTTCCTCGCAAGAGAAAATAAAAAATAAAAATTCTACTTCCGTTAGACATAACTCTTCAAGACCTCTCTGCATAAGAGGGAGAATTCTTTCCCCTCCTCACACAGTTATGAATTCCTGGCCTCAGTCGAAAATGTAATGTGTTTATTTTGTAGGAAAGGTCATAAATCAGAATCATGCTCTACATTTAATGCAAATGAACGGAGAGATATATTGAAGCAACAAGGTCAATGTTTTCGTTGTTTGACCCAAACCATCGAGTGAAAAAATGTTTGATAAAGGATTTGTGTCCCATCTGCAGCAAACCTCACCATGTTTCAATTTGTTTTCGAAATCAAAATAATCCACACATTATTTCTCCAAAGGGAGAAACCGATAATGTTGTATCGATAATGTCGTATCGGCGAATATCGTATCCGCAAAAAAGAATGTTACAAACATGTTCAACCTTAATTGATAATGGAAAAGAGCAGGGAACTGTTAGAATTTTCCTGGACAATGGCTCACACTGCTCCTTTGTTTTAACAGCTTTTTCCAAATTATTTAACTTTCCAGTTGTTAGAAAGGAAAGCCTCTCCATTTGCACATTTGGTGCTAAGGAAACGGAAACAAAATCATTTAATGTAGTAAACTTAAATTAAAGAATAGAGATGATCCAAATTTATGCATAGAAATTGAAGCACTGGAGACAGAAAATATTTCGGGTACACATTTACTGACTCTGGATAAAAATATTGAGAAACAATTTAGACGTTTAAAAAAATGTACAACTAGCAGACTTACGAATTTAACAATAAAGAAATATCAGTACTGATAGGTGCAGATTACTGTTATGATATTGTCACTGGTCGAATTACACGCCTAAGCAAAACCCTCGTTGCAGTTGAAACAATATTTGGGTGGTGTTTGCAAGGCCGAAACATGAACTTAAATGAAACGTTTGCAATGAGTGTTATGGTAAACGAATCCAATATTTCCGATCAACTCAAGGAATTTTGGGATTTAGAGAATTTGGGTATCGAGGCAGAAGTAGCTGACATAGAACCCACTGAGAAAGATATAATGAGTGAATTTGAATCCGGAATTACATATCAAAATAAGCGATACAAAGTGAAATTGCCCTGGAAACCAAATATGAAGACATTATTAGAAAATAACGAGCAGATAGCAATGAAAAGATTTTTGAGATTGAAATCATCTTTTAAAAATGACCCTTCCTTATTTTGTGAATATAACACTGTTCTAAAGAATTATCTTTCGGAGAATATTATTGAACCTGTCCCAGTTGATGAAGTAAATTTACACCAAAATACATTTTATCTACCTCATCGAGCTGTAATACGTACGGATAAGACTACAAGCAAATTACGCATTGTGTTTGATGCTTCGGCGCATGCAAAAGGTCAATTATCTTTGAACGATTGCTTATACGTGGGACTTAATTTTATGCCTAACCTATTTCTTCTTTTGATCAGATTTAGAACGAATCCAATAGCATTTGTTGCAGATATTAAGATGGCCTTTCTCCAGATTGAAATATATGAAAGTGAACGAAACTACACCAGATTCTTCTGGGAAGAAGATCCAGGAACTGATGATGAAAATAAGAGATTGGAAATTTTTCGGATGACAAGGGTTTTATTTGGGGTGAGATCTAGCCCGTTCCTCCTTGCAGCCACAATCAAACATCACTTGAAAAGGTACGTAGATATATTTCCTCTAACTTCTAAAATTCTTAATGAATCATTGTATGTCGACGATTTTATTTGTGGGCAAGTCACTGTTCAACAGGCTCTAAAGACTTGTAAAGAAAGTGTAGATATTCTAAAAGAGGCAAGCATGGACCTTCGAAAGTGGAGAACCAATTCTCCTGAGCTAAGTAAAGAATTAAAGAATTTAAACTTCAATGTAGATCATCTATGTAGATTGAGTCTTTAGATACAAAATTGATAGCTTCAAAAATATTGGGAATTGGTTGGGATGAAAAAACTGGGATGAACAAACTGACACGTTTTATTTCGATACCAGAAATCTGGAAACATTTCTTTTAAAAAGAACTAACACAAAAAGACACTTACTACAAGCAGTAGGTCGACTTTTCGATCCAGTAGGTTTTATAGGACCATATACTATTAGAGCTAAGTACTTGATGCAAGAAATTTGGTGTTTAGGATTAGACTGGGATGAAAAATTGCCCAAACAGTTAGAAATTGCTTGGAATAAATGGTGCGATGAGATCCAAGATGTAAAGGAAATAATTATTCCCCGATATTATTTTCAAAATTCTTTGCCCAGTCATGCAATCACTATTCAATTACACTGTTTTTCAGATGCATCTAAGAAAGCTTATGGTACTGTTGCGTACTTACGCATAGAATTAAAGAGTGGAAATATCATTTCTAGGTTTGTAGCATCAAAGGAGCAGGGTAGCTCCGTTAAAAACCCTTTCGATTCCTAGATTGGAACTCATGGGTGCACTTTTGTCTTCAAGATTGAGCAATAAAATTGTAACTGCACTAAGTTTTCCAGTTACTCGATATTTTTGGACGGATTCCTCAATAGCTTATTACTGGATCAAAGGTGATCCAAATAGACATAAGGTGTTCGTGAAGAATAGAATAAAAGAAATACAAAAATACAGCAATCCAGAAGAATGGCATCATTGTATAGGAAAGAATAATCCCGCCGATTTGATTTCTAGGGGTTTATCCTTAAGCGAGCTCAAGAATAATCAGCTCTGGTGGCATGGACCCTGTTGGTTGACAATGAATAATACAGCATGGCCATCCTCCTTAGAATCAATGGAAGAAAGCGAAGTAGATGTCGATAAGTTAGAGTTTAAGAAGTCAGTTGTTGTAAATGCAACTGTTGAAAATAGCCAAAATGAAAACGATTTGATCACAAGATACTCCTCATTCAGTAAATTAATTAGGATAACTCCTTTATATTTGAGATTTATAAATAACTGTACAGTCAACTGAATTTCAAAGGGAAATAAAGTGCTTGAAAAGCGGACAATCCATTCCAAATAATAGTAAAATATCATCTCTGAACGTATTTCTTGACAAAAACGAGGTCTTTAATTTCTTTTCTTTCCAGTAGGAGGTAGACTGGAGTATTCTGAGTTTTCTGAATTTCAGAAACATCAGATACTCTTACCAAAGGCTCATCATTTCACTAATTTAGTCATTGAATATTATCATAGAAAATCCTTACATTCTGGCGTACAGACTAAATTATCTTTAATAAGACATTCATATTGGATACCATCTGGTCAAGATCAGGTTAGAAGAGTAATAAATAAGTGCATCACTTGCTTTAGAACGAAGAATCAAACGGTAAGCCGATGATGGGTAATCTACCTAGGGACAGAGTTGTGCCTTTTAGACCTTTCAAGAAGGTTGGATTAGATTTCGCAGGACCTATAATCACGAAACCTAATTTTAAAAGGTCAAAAGTGACTTTAAAGTCTTATATTGCATTATTTATCTGTTTTTGCACTAAAGCAGTCCATTTGGAAGTCATTTCTGAGTTAACAACAGAAGCTTTTCTAGCCTGTTTACGATGATTTATTGCCAGAAGATCCAAACAAGCTGTTATCTGGAGCGATAACGCCACGAATTTCAAAGGTGCGAGAAATATTCTTCACGCATATAATGAATGATATTTGCAAATCTAACCCAATTCAAGGATTTAGTGCAGAAGAAGGCATCCAATGGGAATTTATCCCACCAGCTTCTCCTCGCTTTGGCGGACCGTGGGAAGCAAACATAAAATCAGTGAAACGGATTTTGTTAAGGGTAGCAAAATCAGCTATCATGAATTTTGAAGAGTTAACTACTTTAGTTACTCAGATAGAAGCAGTTCTGAATTCCCGCCCATTATCACCGCTTTCTTCCGCTCCGAATGACTTACAGCCTTTAACTCCGGGACATTTTTTGACAGGAAATGCTATGTTATCCTTTCCTGAACCACATACTGCTTCGGATTCTCTTTCTTTTCATTCCAGGTGGGAACTAGTTCAGAGACTCCAAGCTAAATTTTGGAACCGGTGGCATTCAGAGTATCTAAATCAACTACAGAACCGTGCCAAATGTAGCATTTCGCAGCCAAACATGCAGATTGGTCAACTAGAACTGCTAAAAGACTCCAACCTCCAATCCTTCGCATTGGCCATTGGGTGGCATCCAACAAGTGTAGCCTGGTACTGATTGTCTCGCCAGAGTAGTGTAAGTTAAGACGTCTGTAGGTGATCTTCGGCGAGCGATCAACAAAGTCAATCCCCTACAATTTAAAGACTAAATGATATGAACTTGAAAAACTTTTATTTTATATTTTAATAGTTTACCAATTTAATATTTAGTTTAGTGTAATTTTATTGACTTTAAATTTATTTGAATATCTGGAAATTGAAATGTAAACTCCATGGGAATTAAAACGGGGAGAATGGTAAGACCCGCCTAACGCTAGAGGGCGCTGAGAGCGCCATTGAGAGTGTGCAGAGATTCAATGGAAGTTGCTCGATGGAGGATGTGCTATTTCTGAGATTGAGATATTATTATACTTAATTAAATCCATTTATATTTTATTGATTGGTGATTATTGATTTTGATTTATTGATATGAGATGTGATATGTTTTGCTGAACCACCACACTTTCGACAAACTTGGATTACCACTGAACCTTAAAACCACCGATGCGCAAGTGCATCACTTCACAAGTAGCATGAGTGTACCAAAATAAAAATTAAAAATAAACAAAAAAAGATAAAATCAAAAGTTAACATCTATTAAGGATGCTTACTTGACAATGCTGGCGATGAAAACTGATTTGCATTTACTTCAGATCCAGAACTGAAATTCTGTGTGCCTGGTGGGGGGCTTGCAGCACTCAATTGCACCTGCAAATGAAAATAATATTTAATAAAATCTAACATTAGTTAGTACACATTAATTAACACTGATATTTATAGCTGGCAATAAGAAACTATTTTTAGCTTGCAGATACTGATAAATAAAGCTTGTCGCAGTTTTATAATAAAAAACAACATATATTATAAATTTCTAAAAAATAGCAGACTTGTGATCCATTAAAAAGAAGTTTGTTCTTTTTAGTATATTTTAAGCCCTAAATTCTAGAAACACAACAAAAAACATCACAAACAAATATTTCACAATTATCTTTTGTAGCTATTAGTTTTATTTCTGAGAAACTTTCTAGATAAAAAAACTAGCAAACTATACAACTGCCATAAATTTCGGCTTAGAATAGAAAGTTGCGACATGCAGCTGCCTACTGAATATAAACTTGGTGATTTGATTTGAGTTTACCTAAAGAGTTTATTCAATGCATAAAACTGCAGATTAAAAGAAGAAAGAAATATATTACAACCTGGAATATGAAGGAAGTATTAGACAGAAAGGAATTTATTAATTTCTTTACAAAGAAAAGATGATTTAGCTCAATGCTACTGATGATGATATGACACAAAATTCAAAACTCAGCGAAGCACAAAGCAGAAGTACAGAGTAAACAATCCTGAAGACATTAAATCTACCCTCCCTTTAAGGCTTTTTAAGGCTTTTTTATCTCACAATAAGCCTAGTAACTTTAGTCAGTTATTTTCTATAAGCCATTTAACATGTCTGTTGTTTTTATGAGATTTCTTACTCTTCAGGATAATACTATCGCGTGCATACAGGTTCGACTGAATGCACGCAGAGTTGATGCTAACTTGATAAAATTCATTTTACCAAAAGAAATGCTTCACAGTTCTGGAACTTTCTACAAAAATACTCTTCGGGATTTCACATAGTACAATCAGCAGTTATACTTTAAACTACGAAGAACATTAAATTCAAGAAAGTGCATCTAAAAGAGGGAAGCTAAGACAAATACAGGGTTCGTACGCATTTCTGCACACTGAAATTATGTACTTTTAAGGACCATTAAATGAAAAAAATTAAGGAACTAGCAATGGAAACTGAATAAGCAAATGGAAACTGAATAAATTCAATTAAAAATACTATCTATGCCCAACTTCACTTTTATAATACCATCCTAAAAATAGAACAGATCCGTTATTATTAAACATGACTTAATTAACATAATTATTAAGTTTGAGAATAAAATAAACTTTATGAAATTTATCAAGGAGCATATTTTTTACACTTAGCTCTTACATATAAGAGCTGAACATATTTGAAAGGAGATAAGTGACATTTTATTTACGTTTTACTGACAGTTAGTTTTATGTTGATTTTATTTTATATCTCAATTTGTCACATACTTGCTCAGCCTAGAGCATTAGTAAATAGTAAGCAGATTTTATGTCAAGCGGCACAGGTTAAAATGAGAAGTAAAATCATAATCAGCATGATTCACAACAAAAGACTGGCTGTTGTCACCACTGCTGCTTGCCTAGAGAGACTTGCTGATCAGAACAAACATGAAAGGCCTGATAAAATTAGCAACTTGCATGGTTGGCAAATTCTGAAAGTTAGCTGGGCTCTGACTGATGCAATCTATGACGTACGTAGCTTCGCGCAGTTACAGGGGTTGTGACTCATTTAATATACTTTAAGGTTCTAATAATAAGCCACTAAAGTACCAGAGGTAATAAGTTGTTTAGCATTATTTTAAGTCTCACTAGATATCAAAAATAAATTTTACATGAATTTTTACATTTTTGTGTTTCATCTTGTGACCACGATAAGGGTTAATGAAAGGCAATAACTCACTTTAATATCCAGAGATAATTTTTAAGGGCAAGCAGTTAGTTGCATTCAATAAATGCTGTTATGAATGGCATGAATAAATATTCAGACGAAATGGTGTAGAAACGGCTGTTTTTAGCACATCTTCTCACACGGGAATTTCATCTTTCTAAATTCAGAGTTGAAAATATTTGCTTTCTATCTAAGACTTGAAGACGGTCCTGTACGTGAGGAACACGATATCGATCTGGAATGGTGACACTGTTTAATTTCCTATAATCCCAATTACATTTGGTCACAATGTACAGAGGGGATGACCAGATGATTCTGGAGGGTCTGCAGATTCCCGTTTAAAATAGGTACTGGAATTGTTGCTTGGCTGCTTTAAGCTTATCAGCTGAAAGTCTGCATGGTCGTGAAAACACAGGTGGGCCTCTAGTCTCAATACAATGAAAAATGTCACGCTTAATTTTTTGCAGCGTTGAACTAGCTTCTGTAAGCACAGGAAATTCAGCAAGCAGTTGGTGAAATTTAGTATCTCCTTTCACTGCCTTAATGTGAGTTATATATTTTGTAATCACAGTTACTTTGGAACGCAGTTGGGTAAGTGGATCTACCAAACATCCTTGACAAATATCGACCAGTAATGCAAAGTGACAAAGGAAGTCAGCTCCAATAATAGGTTGAGAGACTGCAGCGATGACAAATGGCCAATGAAATTCCCTATGTAAAGATAAGTCCAATTTAATGAGTTTTGGCCAAAAGTAGGTATGGTAGTCCCATTTGCAGCAAAAAGTTGATGCTTGGCAGGCGGCTGATTGCACTCCGTGATTGTGGGCGGAACTGCTGAGACATCTGCTCCCGTATCAATCAGATACTTTGACGCTGTGGATTTATCTGAGAGGTATAAACGATAAATCTCGGTTCTGCCGTCACCCGAAGAGTCAAATGACGGCGGCACTAGTTTTCTGCCTGGAAAGTACAGGGTTTTGTGCACTTAGTAGCTTTTTCTTTAAAACATTCATGGTACCAGCAATGCTCTCTATTACCTTGTCGTTGGTGGCTTGATGAATGGCCTCTTTTATTCTGCTGCTCTCGTTCGGATGAATGCAATCTGGAACGTGTTTCCATCTGAAAAAAGGTGAGATGAAATATCCATTAATCATTCTTTTAGCGCAGAGTCTTCTGTTTTTACTTCAAACACTGAAGCACTGTTTCCGGTGGCTGCCATGGTACCATCGGCCATCTTGGCTAACTTGTCACTGGAAATGGCTATAATCTGTTGTGCATGAGACGGCAGTTGTTGCAGGAAAAGTGATTTAAGAAGACCTCACTCATTCGTGAGCCAACTTTACTTTGCATCTCCAGTAAGAGGAGTGATGATTTTTTGTCGCTAAGCTGCATTCCGGAAATGAGGTCTCTGAGCCGCTTCTGTATCTGCATATTGCGTGCACAGACAGTTTTTGATCGTCGTATATGGAGACATGGCTGGAGGGTTAAGAATAATGTCACTGACAACCGCTAACTCCTCAGGTTGTAAAGCGGAAACTACATGGTGAAATTTTGTGCACTTCACTGTTACACCGGCCAACACGAACTGGCTTTCCATCTGCCGGAACCAGATTTCCGGATTTGCTTGCCAGAAGGGAGGAGCTTTCACCACTACACGTGCTATATTTCCAGTGGCTTGATCTCTGCCGTTATTTTCCATTTTATCCAATAAATCGAATATTTCGGAAAAGAAACTGACTAGTTGTAAGTTCCAATGACGCAAAGTTCATTCAAGCCTAGTCCTTCGTTGATGGAATAAGATTCCCATTTTTCAGTCCCTGTGCATGCTGCGACACCGGGCCATCAATTTAAGGGGTTTCTACCACTAAATATATATCAGAATGCTTAATAAAACTTTATAAAATAAGATGCACTTCTTCATATTCAAATTAGAATTTATTTAATACAAGTTACTTAAGGTAAACACTTAAATGCAGGGTAAACATTACACCATTTCTAAATCGAAACTTACTGGAGCATTTTACCGTGTACCTCACAACATCAAGTCCAGTGTAAGTGTAATCTGGAGACGCCTGTCTGCTTTCTCCTCTCCTCGAGACGCATTACCACCTGTTCTCCTACGTCTTCATCCGAGGCGCGCCTTTTAAGAAATGTAGTCCTGAGAGATCGCTACACCTTATATACCTTTCCTTTTATGAAAAATTAACAACACCTTTGCCAGGAATCGAACCGTGGACCTCTGGAATATGTGTCCAGCATGCAGACCACCACACAACGAAGGCATGCCAAGAAGGTGGGAGAAATACCTTACATGTAAATGTTAAATAGTCCCAAACCCCTCAACAAATATGAAGCAAATTATCGCTATGTCTGAATGTAACTGCAATGTCAGACAAAGGTTTAAATATGCTTCTAATTTAAAAAGAACTTAAAAAAATAAAAACATTTTCTTATGCTAACAAAATCAATTACAGCTCATAGTGATGTAATTAAACAAGTCAATTTCAAACTAAAAAAATATTAACTAGTGGTCAAGACTATATAATTCACTTTCATTTTAAGCTGGCTCAATAACTGTATTATCATAACAACTAAAATGTTGGCAACAGTAGTGCAAAGACAAATAATTGCAAATTATCAGAGATGACAGAAACTAATGCAGGGAGGAAGTGGAGACCAGAAACACACTCTTGTCACTCCAAAAACTTCAGTTTAAAAACTGTCTAAGTGATTTGCATTCCGGTGAGAAAATAGAAATGGAAAATTATAGTAAGGTCTGAAATTGTAAACAACTGGGTAATTTACATAATAATAACTGAACATATCTTTGAAGAATAATTTTCTTTTTCTTTATGTATTCAGTTTTTTCCTTTCACATTTCATTTTCATTTTAGAATTTTTGGATTTAATTAAAAGATTTCTGTTATTCTAAATAAACTAAATGCATTTAGAATGTATAGAGCTGCTAATTTTATTTCTTTAGTAATATGAACATTCAGAAGAAATATGAAATATATATGGTAAGGTTCGGTTAGAGAGCTGATGTGGCATGATTTTTAGAATTTAGTGACACACTGAGCAACAAAGTCTAAAAATGGCAAAACTTTTAGAATTTAGAACGAGGCATTAGAAGCAGAATTTAGAAAGGCACCAGGCAGCAGAATTTAATATCCACAGAGATTGCATTAGGTTGATGCAATCTCTGTCGATATTAACATCTGCGGATACCACAGAGATTGTAATTTAATATCCATAGAGATAACCACTTGCCTAGTGCCAGCCCTGTGTATGATGCATTAGGACATATTAGACGAATCATTTAAATTCTCAGTTTTCAATTTCTTTATTAATAAAAGAATTCCTTTCTATAATGCCTGTCCATATGATAAGATTAGAAGAATTTTTTATATTTTCCATGCTTGTGTCTAGTGAAAAGTAGAGAAAATAAAGGAAAGATAAAAATGATAAGAAAAAGATTCTGGTATCAGAAGTAAAACATTCAACTATAATGTTTTCATTGTTCTTCCAGACATTCTCCAAAAAGTAAGAAATTGTGTGTTAATACTACGGAGACATTTTTCATTTTGTCACATTTTTCTAGAATCTTCTAGAATCGTGGGTATATAAATCTTGCTTTCATATCTTTCTAAACTCCTAAAAATAAAATTACCCCTAACAATTCTGTAACAGCATAAAGCCAGAAACATTTTGAAGATAAAAATCGGAGTCAAAAAGTGCAAAATGGATTTTATAAAGAAAAACAGGGCTTAATTTCTAAAATTAGATGTGCTGGAACCCCTTGGAACACCTTCGGGAAAGAGGTACAAAATTAAATAAATAAATAAAAAGGCCAAATAAAATCATTAATAATTAAAAAATTCAATAGTTTAAATAAAAGTTTAAAATATGAAGAGATAAATTAAAATTTAATAAGCGATTTTTAATATAATTTTATTGTTAAAAATAAAATTTTTGAGATCCAATTTCTACTTAAATTTTGTTCAGGTATATAAAAGAAGTGTCACAGCTTTCTTATTTAGGGCTCCCGGTACAATTATGATTTATTCCCAAAACTAATAAGTACCGGAGCAGGGCTCGAGCGCAATTTAAGCTCTGGAGAAAAACGATGCATATTTTGAGAATTCTGAATATTCTGAGACAATTACATGGGAAAAAACTGTTACCATGAAAAAATAAATAAATAAATAAATAAAAGTATATTTTTAATTAATTACATAGTTTGCTTTTGCTAAGAACTGTTTTGTAAATGGTGCTTAATTTTGCTTATTTTCCACATATAATAAGTGGCCGAATGGAACTTTTAATATCACAGCAAATAATAAAAAAATACTTTATTTTAATATTATCTCATAAATATAATTCCAAAATATTACCATTTTTAAATGAAATTTATCAATGTTAAAATGTTCTAAAAAAAAAAAAAAAAAAAAAAAAAACTGTCGAAAAATTCCTAGATCTCGGAATTAAAAATTTTCTATAGAAACAGATCTTAAAATCGCCAAAATGTTGATAAATCGCCAAATTTAGAACAGTTTAATTAAAGAATTCACATCCCAAAAAGCGAAAAGTTGTTTAAGAGTTCTTCATTACAAAAAATGAAATAATTTCGAAATGCTTATGTTTCACTTCTGGCTCAGAAACTGGAGTATCCGTATTAGAAATAGGAACAAATTATAATCCATGAACCTATTCAAAAGATAACAATATTTGTCAGCGAATCGCTAAAAACATTTCTCCAAAATGCTAATTTACAATCAAAATGACAGTCGCAAAAACAGACAGAAATTTCAGATGATTAAAATTAAGGACCAAAAATGAATTCCAAAAAACTAAGGACTCTTAAGGACCGTACAACCCCTGAGGTATCTCAATTCTCCTTAGTTCCACTAAACTAACAACTGAGAAACTGATGCTCTTCCCTGGTCTTATATAGTTTTTTTTTCTTTTGGTACTTCTTGAAATCACTGAAAAGCATAAGAGGGCTGGATACAATTACAGTCACATACATAGTATAATTACAAAATTCATTACAGTTACACAGTGATGGATCAAAATGTCGCCAAGTTTGGTGACCTCTGGCAATTTCTCACCTAATTCTCACCTCGAGTTTCACCAAAATCACCATTGCCAGCTTGGTGATGTCTCGAAAATTTAGAGAGATAGGCTATTACTTTAGCTAGCTCGAAAATTTAGAGATTTTTTATGTTAAATAGACTTGCCCTTGTATTCTTATTTTTTAAGCACAGCTTTGTTTGTTTAGATCTTCACATCACTTCAGATTTTACATTACCCCCAAAGGGGCACTTTTTTAACATTTTGTATGTTACCTTTATTTATTAAATATCATGATCTTAACAATTAAACCATAAAATTCAATTCAACAGCAATATTATAAAATAATTCTAAAATTAGCACATCTTTAAAATTTCCATAAGCAGTCTCGTGCGCTTGAGATAAAAATGTCCTCCCCCCCCCGGACAGTGTTACCATTGCTCCCTTTGAAATCGCCGAGTTTGTTAATAAAAAATTCATTAATGTGTTACAAAATATGATATCCATAATAAAACAAATGCCAAATTAGGGCTTCCAGACGCCTATATTCGGTGTAGGATTACGTTATTAAAAATTTGATGGCCCTAGGTATCGTTTTATCACAGTACGAGAAACATACATACATTTATGCAGATTCTTCATTATTTAATTTCTTTAAATATAAAACAGAGCTCTAATATTTGATGGAAATAGTTTGAAAAGTGAATCAACACAAAATGCCAAAATGAAATTATCAGTCCTTCTGGGTTTACCCCTTTGGCCTAAAAAGACAGTAGTAGTCTCAGATAACTGGAATTTTACTGTAATGAAATTGTGTCTTGTAAAATATTTATTGAATACATATACGTAAAATATGCATTCTGAATTCTTTCAAAGTTTTTTGCATATTTACAAACTGTAGATGAATTTATTTGTGTTGATATTGGAAAAAGTACTGTCATATGTGCGTTGTCGTAATTAATGTGAAATATAAATTCCCACACAGAAAAACATTTACTTGTTGAGATTACATACTGAAAACACCGGATTTAATGCTGCTTTCTTTTCTTTTTTAAAATTTACTTTAAAAACACTGTATTAGAACCAAGATCTAAGTATTTAAAAACTTGCAACACATATACTAGCTACAATTCCATTTAAAATGCACAAGTTACATGATGACGATGGAATAAAAGACTTGCATCATTTACAGCACCACTACTGAAATTAATAGATGCAATATTAAGAGAAAAACTAGAAAAATCTTCCTTTATCATGAAGTAAACTAGAAATCCCTTTAGTCAATATTTCCTAAGGTGTAGTTTTGTTATTCTGGATAACTTTCATTCACAAAACTAAATAATAGTTTTTTTTTTTTTTTTTTTTTTTTTTTATTTTATTCAGTTTTTTTTCCCCAATGAAATCAGTCCCTCCCTTCCCAATAGATTAAAAAATTCTTACTGATGAATATCCATCAGCTTGAGAATTCTGAGGCAGTTGTGCATATGGAGGTTTCTTAACGTCTACTTTAGATGGGCGAGAAGGAATTCGATGAAGATAGCCATAGCCTATACCACAACCTAAACTGTAAAATGAAACAAACTTAATACAGTTGCACATACATACATTATGAACTGTTTAATACTATAAATCCAAATTTGAACAATAATTTTGCTGCTCTAAATATAGTAAAATAAGGAATTTAAAAAAGAAACCTGGATATAGTATTTATTTAAACATTGTTAGGAAACATATCTTAATATCACTTGTGGAAGCAAAAATGAAATTTAATATGAAAATGAAATTTTTGAAAAGAAAATGCATGATTATATAAATTACAAATGTTTAATCAACAGGGGGTTAATTCCAAGTTGTTGGTTTTGCTTTAATAAAAGCTAAACATAAAATATCTGATAAAAGATTTAAAACGTACCTTCCTTCACCGCCCCAGTTTTTATTTGGAGTTATGACAACCTCTCGACATAAATCAGACACAACATTATAAACATACAGTGTTAATGCTTTCCCTTCATGAGCTTCTATTAAACTGAATAGATCTTCTGACTAAAATGGTAAAATAAATAAATGAATTATTTAGCAAAATCAAAAAGAGAAGAAAGTGTTACTTTCTTATATAGGAAAGTTTTTAATTAATACAATATTAAATAAATAATAATTTTATGCTTCAATTTGAAATTATATCAAAGATAATTGCAAACTGACCTATATCAGATATCAATCAATTAAAAAAACAGTTCCCTTTATTTCTGTGAACATTACTACCAGTTTTTACATAAGATCTGTTTTAGTATCTTCTTCATATCTTAAATGAATTCTAATAAATGCATAAAAAATTCTGATGAGGAAAAACAAACGTTATGCAATTACTGAAGAAAAGTACCAGTTTCATCATGGGGGGGAGGGAAGAGTTAACTTTTCTGTTTTGCAATATGCTTTGATTGCCTACAAAGAAATATAAGACAGAAAAATGCATTAGCTTAAGCAATCAAATGTACTGTCATATTTAAAGTCTTCCACATCAGCAAGAAACATACGTAAATGAGAGGCCTCAAATTTTTAGCTCAGGAGACAAGAGAAATCATAAATGTAGTGATCAATCAAAAAATGAAAAATGATCATCCTTCTATGTCTCCTAGTAACACTACTTCAAGAGCATACTTTAATGTACCATCATTCTGGCCCCCATTTTTCAACTTTTCAAAGGCTTTATTGTCTTCTCAGTTTGGGAAGGTGAAACTAACATGTTATGGTAATGCTTTTTGAATTTTATTTCAAATTTTATCCCCTATTCAATATGATTTGATAAGAGAGAAGAAAAAAGATGGGACCTGGGAGCAGTAAAAAATGTGTCCTCTAAAAATTAACATTAAAGACTCTAAGTCCAAAATTCGCATAAATTGCCAAATTTGGCGACCCTACTTACGACAACCCTACGTGTTATACGTAGTTTTGTAAAATGAGCATGTGGAGATTCACAAAATTTTCCTGCATTTTCGTGCAAATTTTTGTAATTTATGAGAAAATAGCAGTATACATGGTTAAAGTCAAGAGTGTGCGCAATGCCATTTTTGTGAAATTCTGGGATGTTTTTTTAAGTAAAAATAAGTCGACGTGTACATGGTTATACATGGTTATGGCGAATACGGTTTTCAATCAGTGCTAAAAGCAATAGCCAAAAGATTTCCGCCAAAAAAATAATTCTGCAACTTATTTAAACCCTTCCGGTTTCGAATTTGAATAAGTTGCAGAATTATTTTTTCGGAGGAAATCTTTTGGCTATTGCTTTAAGCACTGATTGAAAACCGTATTTGCCATAACCATGTACACGTCGACTTATTTTTACTTAAAAAAACATCCCAGAATTTCACAAAAATGGCATTGCGCACACTCTTGACTTTTTCCATGTACACTGCTATTTTCTCATAAATTACAAAAATTTGCACGAAAATGCAGGAAAATTTTGTGAATCTCCACATGCTCTTTTTACAAAACTACGTATAACACGTAGGGTTGCCGTAAGTAGGGTCTAACGCCATAAGTAGGGTTCAACTTATTCAAATTTGAAACCGGAAGGGTTTAATTGCTATTTTATATTTTAAAACAAAATAATATAAAAAACTGTATCAGGGTTGCCACTCAAACAGGAGAATGAAATTCCCTGACTTTTCCAGGTTTTCCAGGTGCGTTTCAAGAAAATTCCAGTCGATCCGCGTAATGTACGTTGGCTACGCTAAGACGTAAATTATGGTATTACTTGTATTGTGTAGCAAATTCACTTAATTATTCAATAAATCCCAGAGGACATTTATTCTTAATTATTCTTGGTATACTTAGTTTGATAATTATGTTTACTTTTCCACTTAAGAAACTTAATAAAATTTAAGATATATACATTGGATAACAAATGTATGTTTTATTTAATTATTACTCATAATCATCACCAGTTCAACACGAGGCTAATCCGGTCCTTATAAATCACAACGTAATGCTAAATAGTTAGGTTAGATTTTAGGTAAATTTAATTTGTGTGAGGTATGTTCTTAAAAAGCACCTTAACACTTGAAAACACAAATATAATTATAATAGTTGTTGTTTTCTCCATTGAAGATTGAGATTAGAATCTTCCCAATTTGGAATAAAATAAGGCTGTTTTTGCAGAGATTCTGCAGCTAAACGAAAGAAAGAAATCTATTTTAATAAATTGAGGTATTTTATATTTAGTTCAGCATACATAAGAAAAAAATATGTGCATTAAATTTCGTGATGGTATGTCATCATACTGCTAGAATTAATTTCAAGATTATGCCAGAGAAAATTTCCTGAAATTTAGAAATATTATTTACTAATAATTAATAAATTTAGAGGGAGAAGCATCATTAAATTATACGAATAACATAAAAAAATAAAGATAATTACTTAAAATTGAATTAGAATAATCAACGATATTTTAGCGAATATAGTTATATACATGGTTAGCCTAGATGACAGATTACTAATTTTTATTTTACTGCAAAATGGCAAGGTATTTATTAAAAAAGATTTTGCGGTAAAATTCTAATATACGGTAAGCTTTTGGCACGATTTTGAAAATTGTCGCCAGACCAAAATGACCCTTTACTGCGCATCATCATGTCGCCAAATCCATACATGGAGATTATTTTAACCAAAAAACGTCTATGCAAAGAATCTCTAATTCTTTGGTCTATGTAAAGAAGAAAATTTTCCATACAAGTAAAATGCTATTACGCCTCTAGAATGCGGAGGGAAATTTTGCCAAGGGATTTGGCGACGGAACCTGGCGGCCAGAATTTCCCTCTCCGCGATGTGTACCGGAAATTGAGAAACGTGTTAAGAAACGTTCTTTGACAAAAAGAAAGCTACGGAAATCCGTTTTTAAATTATTGCGAAAAAATCCAAGAAGAATTTTTATCAAAGGACGTTTCTTCTTCTTCTTGATTTTTCGCAATAATTTTAAAAAACGGATTTTTCGTAGTTTCCCCCCCCCTGAAAAATTACTAACCTATGAATTAATTTACTTGCGCCAAAAAATATTTTCTTTTAATTTAGAGTTTAACTACTTGCGCTAAGACTAAACTTCACGGTTGCGGTTGCCGTGCGCTACAATATAACAAGTGGTAAAGTGTCTCATTTACGCCGCTCCGCATCTGCTAGTGCAATCCAGAGCTGTAACTCGAGAAATAAACAATCTCGTTGTTAGGTGACGTGTGCACCATGTTATTTTCATTTTTGCGATAAATGCTTATCGACGTGGTGTTCACGTCGCTCGCAGTTTGAAACAAAAACATCTCGACGTGCGTGGCACGTCTTTTTAGCGCAAGTGGTTAAAGGATATTCATTTAATGAACTCTTGATAACGTGACCTTGGAACTTCGACACCGGTTTCCAGCTTTAGCGGCAGATATATCACGCATGCACAGCTGTTCCCCTCTATGATGGAACGGAGCCACGTCTGTTGCAGAGAGGTTTTCCTTCTTTACAATACATATTCTTTGATTCTAACCTCCATGGTACCGTATACTATGATTAAACCCATTTTGTTTTATACGAGAACAGGTACTTTCTTTAGTTCATGCACTGCACATGCGATTCTCGAGAAACTGGAAAACCAAACCATTGCGGGAAACTTGCTTTGCCTTTCTAAAGGCAATCAAATTGGAGCTGCGAAAATTGGCTCTATGCCAGCAGACACTCACGTGATAGGCAATTCGCCAAAAAAGTTATCTCTTCCAACGTCGGCGCAAAAAAAGCTTTTTTTGGCGGGATCATTGTATGAACTTCCCTGACTTTTACAGATTTTGACAAAAATACTTAAATTCCCTGACTTTTCCCTGAATTTTTTGGTCAATTTTCGAATTCCCTGACTTTTCCCGGTTCTCCCGGTTTTCCAGGTAGCGTGGCAACCCTGCTGTATTAAAAATTATGTGTAATTAATAAATGTACATTTTCTTTCTATTCATACTTTTTTACTCAAAGTTACAAATAGCGCCAACCTGGTTGCAATAATACGTAAGTACCCATTTATTCTACAATATAATTCACATAATTTTTTTAAATAATTTTACAGGTTAATTTTTGGGGGGGGGGGGTAAAAATTATGGAAACTTAATTCCACTGAATTACGTTACAGCTTAACACCATATATCACTAGCTTACTGCACTACAGTTTCCAATAAATAGCACTGCAGCTTTGAATTTTGGGTAAATTGTGAAGGAAAAACATGCTCAGCTTATACTCAGAAATGTACAGTAATTTAAACATCAGGATTTTTTACTTAAAGAAGTTTAACAATTTTAAATTATCAGAATGCTATAAAAATTGTGTCAACTTCTATAATAATTCAAATATGAATTTAAGGACATAATCTTAACATTTAACTGTAAGCACATAAAAAAGAATACTGCTGTATTTATGAAAGAAAGGATTATAAAATAGAAATTCTAAAGGTTACAGAATTAACAAAAATATAAAACCTCATGAAGAACAGAATCAGCTCCAATGATGTAATCATCAAACGGATAAAACCCAGCAAGATCAGCAGGAGAATGCGGCTGAATTTCCTATCAATAAATAATTTGTATACGAAAATGGTAGACTTGCAAAAAATACATATTTAAAAGCAACAAAAACACCTTTTTCTTCATATTAATTATCACTTAAATGAATTATCCTATCACTAACTTAAATCAATAAAAGAACTGCAGGTAATAAACTGAAAGCTGAATTGTAATTTGCAATTATAGGCACATTTTTACACAGCTGGATGAGGTCATTATTCAAGAACACAATATTAATTAGAAATATATATATACAAAGAGAAACAAGAAATCATAAATTAGTGAAACATTAGATTAGAGGTATTGTGCTTTTCTAATATCAATTCCAATCCATACACATTATTAAATGAAAGCATAATAATAAATGTAATTTTACTGCATATTCTAGAAATAAAATCCAATTTTTATTTCTAGAAGACACAATACAATTTACAGAACAGTTTAAATTGAAACAGTGATACATATATATTATCAGATAAACATAAAATCATATAACATTCAAAAAGGGCCACATATATAGCATACAAGAGAAAACAGTCTTAAGACTAAGAAAGAATGAGAGAAAAAGAAAGAGGCAATTTTTATAATAAAGAAAGAAGGAAAAGGCAGTTTTTAAGAAAAAGAAAAGAGAAAGGCAGTTTTGGGTACTTACGGAATATCCCATCAACCATTTTTGCCTATTAAAGAAAAGACGGCAAACTACGCAATTTTTCGCCAAAAATGGAAAAGTCTTCTTCAAACATGCTGTGTTTGGTATAAACTTGATTATACGGTGTTAATAATTACTCTTGTGTAAAGACTCCTTTTTTTTCCTTCTATCATGCATTTTCGAAAATAAAATTATTAAAATTTGGTACCTGCCTACTACAGAAGAACATGCTGTTGAATATTTCCACTGTTATGGAATCTTACTGGCCTTAAAAAAATATGTTAATAGCCATGAAATGGCAAAACGTTTAGGCTTCTGCAAAGCGAGTGTCAATTCGAAAGAGAACGTGGTTCGAGGGTTCTACTATTTCATTTCTGACTGCAGCCCAATTCATTTATAATTGGCACGGAGAACTGACGACTATTGAACGGGGAAAAGAGTAATTACAGTTAAGTGACAAAACTGTTATAAATTGAAATAATTACCCGAGAGAAATTTGCACACACAGCCTTTTATCAAGGCCAAAGAAAAAAAATCGGAGGGCCTAACCACATTGTGGAAATAGATGAGACCCTTTTTGAAAGCGGAAAAAATCAAGCTGGAAGAATACACCCCGAGCGATGGTTGTTTGGAGGCATTCGGATTGGCGCCGCCTCTTGCGGTCGACGGGATTTTCCATAAGTACCCAGTTTTTATAATAAACCTCTTTATATCAGATAAATTGTCAATTACAAGTCAGGAACCATATTAAAAAATGCAGTGTTACAGTTACAAAATACAGGACAATATTAAATCGATAAAAGCTTATTTTAAAATTTTATTAGAACACATAATACATTCCCTGCAATATAAAATACCTAGATACATGGATATCTAGATATATTAACATGTAGACCAAATCCAATTAGAAATACAGAATAATAATGTTTACTATAATATATAGTAATTAGATATATGAATATTTTACTTACCAAAACATGCCACACATTCTCATTAACCCCTTCAAAAGAACAAAATCGAATGCTGACTCCAAGTAAGCCCTGGCCACCCCATGTATTTGAAGGTGTAATTTCTACATCTCGAACAGTCTGTGTTTTTGTACTGTACACAGTCATACGCAAAGGCCTTTCAATATTTGCTTTTAAGATTTCCTTCAATGTATCATTATCTTGATTCTATAAATATTAAAAATTTCAGCTTATGAACAATCAACAACAAAAAAAAAAAAAAAAAAAAAAAAAAAAAAAAAAATACAACATACAGCACATATTTCTTACACCAGAAATTAAATTTTCAATATGCCAATGTCTGCACTTATTTATAACACTTTGATTTTCTGCTTAATAGTCACTAATTAGCAAATATGGCCAACAGCAATAAATGTGGTAGCCTATTTATACTGCGTCACTGAATAGCTGTGCAATGCTAATATAATACTTAATGCCATATTTCTGCAATACTGCAATGTTTTTTTGAAGTAAAAACTTTAGATTAATTGCACAAATCGGGCAATAGTCAAAGACTTGTGCAGATTAAACATTATATATATTATTTTCACAATATATAAAATAGTTTTCTTTTCGTGAAGTTTTATGTATTGTAACAGTTGCCACCATCTATTTAGATTTCTTACCAATGTACAAATATATTTCAAGGTGCCCCTTGGCTATGTATAAAACTAATGCTGCTTTTTAGCCCAATTTAAAATTTTACACTACAGTGTATTCTTTGTTCCACTTGATATATGTATTCCTGGTGCTTTTCTGATATCAGGACTAGGGTAAAAATATATTTCAAGGTGTCCCTTGGAGAAAATTTCCAATTTTTGTCCTGCAAGACACAATTTCAAGATGGTCGCTACACAAAACCAAAATAACAAGTCAAAGAATTGCACAAACTCTGTGTCCATGTACACATCGATCTACTTTCCCTTAAATACACATCAGAGAATTGCATAAACTCAGCACTGCACACTTCCTTGACTTTGTCCATGTACACATCAATCTATTTTCACTTTAAAAAAAAAATCAGAATGATGACATCATGTAATATTAAACCAACGTTACTCATTGCCAAAACTGAGAAAAATTTGTAGCCGATTGAAGCTCAATAAGTCACACCCTGAAATAATATAAAAAAGGTAATCATAAACATGTTATCACACATATGCACAACAAAAAGAAAATATCGACTTACCATATTTAGAAATTTCTGTGTCTTCAGTCTGCGACACGCAAAATTCCTTAACAGCACCCAAAAACTTTCTAAAATTATCTCAACTAGAATATGCATACTGCCATCACCCCATAAATTAACGAAAATAAGAGTAAAAAATATCCTCCATAGTGCTTTATTGTTGGTGGCATTTTTGCATGAAACGATCTTACGACAAAGACATCTGAATGATCTTCCTGTTCAACCATATGCACTTATTTTGTACAAACAGGACACTTCATAATGACCACTTAGTAAATCTTCATTTACACACCAATCAATTAATGTTTTTTCCCCAACTGTACAGAAATTTCACATTAATCTCACCACATAAGTCATTTTATGGTGTGCAGAACAAAATAAGCAACCTACTCTTTAACTGACATCCCAATGTTCAAATAAGCCTTTACAAATATTTTAGCCATTGGTCAAACTCGCAGCAATCACATAACTAATTATATCATAATAGGGTTTCCATAACATTCAACTATTCAGGTTACCCTAAATTGAACAACAATTTGGCGATAAATGAAACTACAACTTTACAATACTCTAAGGGGCACCCTAAAATATAGATTAACCCAGGATAGGATTCAGAAATGTTTGTATGTATGTCTGCATGTAGTGTGTATATAGTACATGCACACATATATGTATTTGCATACATACATTTCTCACTCTGCTCCTGATAACAGAAAAATACCTTAATGGCAATAAAATTATTATAAGCATATAAAGTTTAAAAATTCAACTGCAAAAATTTCAAACAAAAAGGACAAGTCTAAGAATATATTTCTGTACTCATTCCATAATAAGACATTGCACTATCAGTGTAAACTCAGTAAAAATACACTCTTTTATGATTTATGTTTCAAGTTTATAATTTTACGCTTCTCATAATAAGTATAATATATGGCCTTATTCAACTGAAACATTTAGCGATCATTAGTCATGATACGTCAATAGTTCGGATTGGGTTTGCTGTTTCGGTATTAATTGAAACACAATGATCAGTCTAAGCTCTCGACCTATCGTTCTCGTAGTGATCCCACCGAACCCATCATTCCACAGCAAAAATGATTGAATAAATATGGTGGCTGTGTTTTTTGTGCTTTCACGAAGACAGAATTCACGTGAACAAGATACTTAGAATTAAAGGCAATCCTTTAAAATCTACTGGATGGGCAGTAATTTATATCAAAGTATAAGATGTATAAGGATCCTAGCAAGGGGAGCTGACTCATCATCTGTGATGTATCCAAATGAAGCACACTTGCTGCTAGTCAGTGGAGTATCAAGCATAACTGGCGCATGGGGCAAAATAACTTTCTGGCGCCCCCCCCCAAAAAAAACTTTTACAGTAATAATGATGCATAGAATATATTAAGTAATAAGAAAATAATGCAAATGATAATAAAAGTCTGAATCTGCCATAAAATACTCTAAAATATATTAAGAATAGTCACTACCTAACTACACTAGCATTGAATTTGGAAATGTATCTGTGTCGGAGATTCAGTTTCTTTTCTACTACGGAGTAACATCTTGCACACTGCTCAAAACAATTAGGGGATATTGCAAGTTCAGTATGAAATAACCATAGAATCAACAACCTCTTTAACTAAAGGAAATAGAAGAGATAATAAAGGAAAATTATAACGTTTACAAAGTTGGAAATATGCAAGTTTAGTATGTGGCGTCAAAAACTATGCATTTTAGAAAAGAAGTAAGGAGCGACCTGCAGCATTCCTTTTGTAGTAGGAGATCAAAAACAATTGACACTTGTTTACTGCTTTGTAGCAGTGACCATACGATGCCTCAGCAAGATGACTTATTTGAATTGTAATTTAATTTAGTTGAATCGATAACCAGGAAGGCCATCAGTCGTTTACAGGAGAGTCAAATGCAATCCATTGTAGCAGAAGCACTAGGAGTTTACCAAAATTTCATTTTCAGGATATGGAATCAGTTTTGGGAAAATGGATATGTTTGAGAAAATCGGAAAAGTCATGTTATCGTTTTAAAATAAAAAGCGGAAGCTATACATGCTTTTTGCTAAAAAAATAAAGATATATCTCTATTTTAGGGAAATAAGTGATCGGAAAGAACGTTTTGTATGAGGAGATATTTGGTTGATGTATTGCAAACATTTTATTACACATTTTATCAGACAAATAAAGAAAATTATATTACAATAATTATTAATTTTAAATATATTTTCTAGAAATCTATCAAAACAAAAACTGAAATTTTCCAAAAAAATCTTGCTTGGAGACCATTTGGCGACCGGGGCATCATAGACACCCTTGCCCCCCTTGCTACACCACTGTTGCTAGTAGACACTGACTTAGCATTGTGTTGTTTACATCTGTACTGATGGACTGTGACCTAATTCCAAGAAATATACGTGGATTCACTGCATCAAATTATTCATATCTTGTAAAAATTTACTTTAGTATGTTCTGTTTCCAAAAAAGGAAGAAATACGAAGAAAATGAGTAATTAATTCTCATTGACTGGAATGGATTCTGAGCACAGGGGCATACGCTTTTGAAGTAAGTACAGCTTCGTATGTTTTCATATATTGTTAAAAAAATAAGTGTTGATGTTTCAGCATATGTCTATTTTCATTCAAGTATTAATGAAAAATTGATTTACATGTACAAAATGAATTGCAGAATGTATCTGTGTAACCAACACACATACTGTGAATGCCTATGTGAATTTTTTTATCGCCAACAGATAGTTTAAAGAATTACATTTTACATTTGATTTCAACTTTGTGCATGATTAGAACTATGAAATGCACTTTTTACTTAAATTTTACTGCAGGATTCATGGTTTAAAATTGTATGTTATTTTTTTACCATTATATTATCGCCAAATCTATCAGTTGGCCCCTATGTAAAACAAAAGTAAACATCAAATAATATGATTAAAATTGTTCATTCTATAATGTTCCCTTTAAAGCAATATAAATATATAGCATTTATATTCCTTTTGAAAAAGGTAAGCATCAATTTAAGTATTTAACGAATAATTTTGACTGTATTTCCAGCTCCTTCATTTAACTGCAATTCTTTGTTAATTTATTTCCAATGTATGAACATAAATACGTTTTAAAATGCTGTACAAACTTAGTCTTTCATTCTTAATTTAGTTCAGTTTTCATATAAGAATTAAAATCTATCAGACAATTGCCTTCTTAATGTGTAATTAAAATAATTTAATAATATTTGTTACTGTAATTTAATACTTAAGATTTTAATGTTTTCAGAAACTTTCTAAATCAAATTTATTTTTGTCTGACACTGCATCAATGGAGCCAATAATAAATCTGTTTTGTCATTCCCTGCTAGAATTTTTAATGAAAAACTTATTACTGATGTAAAAGAATGAATAAATAATATTTACTTGGTAATCAGTGTCTTAGCTATTGCAATAACTTAAAGGGCTTCTTTTTGTTTCTTAAGTTGCATAATTTGTTTTCATAACTTCTTGTCATCTTTATGTTATCAAATAAATGTTAAAGGCATATTTCTAATCAAATATTCTTCTTTCATAGCTTTTTTCCAGTATGCATACATAACTTACTTGACCTATATTTTTCACATGTTAATGGAATGTGTCCATTGGTTACTTTGAAAGCAACGCAACTTCTGACCACATGATAAACAGCATTGTGCATAAAGTAACTTCTGGCAATCCCTACCAGTAACACTCTTTTCAGAAGTGATCACTAATGTTCGATGTAACGATCATTATTTGAGTGATCATCAGTGTTTCAATTAAATGAGGCTGTTTATGTGAGTATCGTTTGCTTCATTTTATTGTTGCAAACAGCGTAAATTTCTTTTTTTTTCCTTTATTTTTGAACTTTATGTTTGGAACAGAATAATTGATTGATAACTTTATTTGTGACGCCATGTAGAATGGCTCGCTATTTGTATCAATTATTTCG